TTTTCTAATGTGTTTGTGATTTTTGTTGTGTTGTTCCCTGTGGATGTGTCCTTCTGACCTTAAAGATTTACTTAGCTCTTAATTTGTTTATCCTTTCTGAGGTAGTTATGTATTTTGCTGAGTATGTTTGTCGTGTTCCTTGTTGTATGTGTTTGTCATGCTCGTTGTTATATTCCCTTTTGAATTCTGCCATGTTCCTTTGCAGATACTTTGAGGTCACTAAGGTCTCATGACCTTCTTAGCTCATCCTCCCTTCTGTGCCGCCTTAAACATCGCTCTTCTCCTCAAACTAGTGAGGATGTTCCTCTCAACACGGTGGCTTCAAAGAGCGGTGCTCCTCCGCCTCCCCCTCATACTGGCCATAAGAGGAAGCTGGGGTACCTATTGATGTTGATGCTGCTGATTTCTCTTTTGATTCCTTGGCTCCGCATGTGGACACCTTAATGTTTCCGTCCTTCAAGGATCGCCAATCCTCGCAGACTTTCGCTGACCTTTCTCAAGAGGCTGCTGTGCAGTCTTTCCAGGCATGGTATACTCCGAAAAAAAAATTAATAAACATGGTTAAAATCGGATTGCGCATTCCTTACTTGATTTTGTGTTATGCAGAGCCTGCAGTCTTGCTTGGGCGTACTGGGCAAAGTGTCTGAGTTTACTCGAGTGTATGAGGCTATGAAGAAGGAGCGTGATGCTCTTTCTGATAAGTACAAGGCTGCTGATGCATTGCTGAGCGTGATGGGCTAAAGAGGACCTTGAAGGAGACTGGGAACGAGGCTATTGATGCTGCAGCGTATTACTTTGGGAAAGCTCGTCTTGAAATGATGGAGGAATTTCAGCAAGGAAAACATGAGGCCTGGGATTATGATGCTGACAAGGCTGCTTTTGAGGTTGCATTTCCTGCAGGGACTGCTGCTCCTGGCACATTGTTGCTGAGCTATGCTGACGAGGAAGTGAATTCTCCTCACAACGCCGAGGTCAGGGATGTCCCGGAGAGTACGAAGCTTGTTGCTGAGGAAGTGGTCCCTGCTGACAACATGGATGAGAATTAGATTCAATGGTGCTGTGTCACCTTTAAAAATTTGTTAACTTTGAAGGATGTTTGTTTTTACTGCCTTGGTGCAGTTGGATAATTTTTATCTTTTTTTTGTGCTATACTTTTGTAGCTGGATAATTTGTCTATTTTGCTGCTTTGCAACTAAGTAATTTTGCCTTTTTTGCTATGTTGGTCTGTATTTATGTTTCTTATTGTATCATTGTTGTCTTATGATCGTATTGCAGTCGTATTGCAGTTGTATTACAGTTGTATTATAGTTGTATTACAGTTGTAATATGAATGTAGTGTTGCTTACATGTGTTTGCTTGCTCTGCGAGGATAGTTGGTTTGTTCCTTGCAGGGATGATTAACCTTTGCTCTGTGATGGTCTGTTGTGCTCTTGCCTAGTAGTGTAGGTATTGTTCCTCGCAAAACAGAATAAGGTGAGGGGTGGCCGTGGGTTTCCCCAACGGCCCTCCGATGCCAAAGTCAGTACTCGTAATGATCATAAATTGAATTGACAAAGTGTGAGTAAAGAGGAGTACCTTTCGTGCTGATTTTGGCTGTTGGAGCTTTTTGTGCTTTTCTGTTTTTTTTTTTTTTTTTTTTTTTTTTTTTTTTTTTGTAAAAGGAGATAAAAATGATAACTACGTACCTTCGATCCTCAAAAATGATATAACTTTAAGTGTGCTGCATTCCAGCTTCGTTGTACCTCTTTTCCTTCTGCATTTCTGAGTCTGTAGGCTCCATTGCCTACCATCTTAATGATCTCGTAAGTTCCCTCCCAGTTGGGTGCTAATTTCCCTGCGTTCACTTCTCTGATATTTTCGTATACCTTACTAAGAACCCAATCTCCCAACTTGAAGACTTTTGTTCTGACATTTTTGTTGAAGGACCTTGCTACTTCTTGCTGATATGCTGCCATTCTCATTCTTGCGTCTTCTCTAAGTTCTTCCACTGTGTCTAGGTTGTGAATTAGCTCTGCTTGATTCCTTTCTTCTGTCATTAACCCATATCTTGCTGTGGGGACTTCTACCTCTGTTGGGATCACTGCTTCACATCCGTATACCAACGAGAATGGGGTGTGACCTGTAGCGCCTTTTGGGGTCGTCTTGTCTGCCCATAGTATGTTGGGTAGCTCGTCTGCCCATCTCCCTTTTGCACCTTCCATCCTTTTCTTCATGTTACCTATGAGGACTTTGTTGCTTGATTCTGCCTGTCCATTTGCCTGTGGGTACCTAGGTGTGGATGTAATGAGGGAGATGTTCCATTCCTTATAGAACTTGGTAGTCTTATTGCTGATGAACTGGGATTCGTTGTCTGTAATGATCTCTGCTGGTACCCCGAATCTACTTAGGATGTTTCTTTTTATAAACGATATGACGTGCTTATCTTTGATTTCTTTGTATGCTTCTGCTTCGATCCATTTTGAAAAATAGTCTGTCATTGCTAAGAAGTATACTCTTTGTCCTGACAATGGAGGGAGCTTTACTATATCCATTCCCCACTTCATGAATGGCTAAGGCGTCAGTGTTGGATGTAGTTCCTCTGATGGCCTATGCGTCAAGGGTGCGTGCTTCTGGCATGGTAGGCACTTCTTAGCGAATTTTGTTGCATCCTTTCTCATGTTGGGCCAGTAGTATCCCATTCTAAGTGCTCTGTTGACTAAGTTCCTTCCTCCGGAATGATTTCCACACTCTCCGCTGTGCAAAGACTGTAAAACTTGCTGGGCTTCATTTACTTCTAGGCATCGTAAGAAGGGGCATGCTGCAGATTTTTTGAAGAGTACGTTGCTAATTAGGCAATACTTGGAGGCTCTTTGAGCAAGTGCTTGAGTTACTACTTTCCCTGTTGGTTTTGTCGTGTCCAAGAGGTATTCTTTCAGTGGTGTTGTCCAGCTGTTACTTTCTTTCTCTGTAGGGTTTTCTTGAACTTTGTAGACGCTCACAGTCGATTCTTTCTCTATGGCTGGAGAAAGTACGTGCACTAGGGGAATAGCTCCAAATTCTTCTAGGTTGATGTTTGATCCCAAGTTTGCTAGTTCGTCTACTTCAGTGTTCAAGTTTCTGGGTACTTGATCTATCTTGAATTCCTTGAACTCTTTAATGAGCCTCTTCGTGACTTCTAGGTAGGCTACCATCCTGACATCCTTTGCCGCATATTCCCCGTTGACTTGATTTACCATGAGTAAGGAGTCTGAATTTACCTCTAGATGTTATATCTTCATGTCCTTTGCAACGGTTAATCCTGTGATCAGCGCTTCGTATTCAGCTTCATTATTAGTGGCTTTGAAGTTGCACCTTATTGCTCGTGCTATCTTGTCTCCTTGGGGTGATGTCAGTACTATCCTTAGGCCTACTCCGCGTATTTTTGCTGCGCCATCTGTGTGGAGTATCCACTTTTATGTAGCTTTTGGTTCCTGTAGTGCCAATACTTCTTTTTGCGCTTCTTCCTCAAGGGTTGGGCTGAAGTCCGCTACGAAGTCTGCCAAAGCTTGTGATTTGATTGCTGTTCTGGGTTCGTACTGTATATCGTATCTGCTCAAATGTAGGGCCCATTTTTCCATCCTTCCTGACATTTCTGACTTTCTCATGATAGCTTTGATGAGGTAGTTGGTGCATACTCGTATGGAATGACTTTCAAAGTACGGGCGTAGCTTCACTGAAGCAGTAACTAAGGCTAAAATGATCTTCTCTAATGACGCGTACCTTGTTTCCGCACTGAGTAGGGTTTTACTTACGTAATAGATTGGGAACTGCTCCTTGTCTTCTTCTCTTGTGAGGACTGCACTGATCGTCCCTTCAGACACTGCGAGGTATAGCTGGAGTGGTTCTCCTTCTTTGGGCTTAGAGAGAATCAACGGGTTGGCCAAGTATTCTTTCAGCTTCTGAAATGCTTCGTCGTGCTCCTGCTCCCACTTGAATTCCTTATTCTTCTTCAATACTTCGTAAAAGGCTCTGTTTTTGTCTGAGGACTTTGAAATGAACCTATTCAATGCTGCGATTTTCCATGTTAAGCTCTGTACTTCCTTCTTCGACTTTGGTCGCTCTAGGTCTAGGATGACTTTGACTTGGTCTGGGCTAGCTTCTATTCCTCTTTGGGTAACCATGTATCCCAGGAACTTTCCTGACTGTACTCCAAATGTGCATTTTGTGGGATTCAACTTCATGCCGTACTGCTTAAGGATGGCGAATGCTTCTCCAAGGTCTCTGACGTGATCCTCCGCCTTTTTGGATTTTACTACCATGTCGTCTATGTAGACCTCTATTGTATTTCCTATTTGCTTTTCAAACATTTTGTTCACTAACCTTTGATATGTTGCTCCTGCATTCTTCAATCCAAAAGGCATTACTTTATAGCAATATATTCCTTGGCTAGTAATGAAAGCGGTTTTCTCTTGGTCGTCCTTGTGCATGAGGATCTGGTTGTATCCACTGTACGCGTCCATGAAGGACAATAAATCATGCCCTGCTGTAGCATCTACCATGGCATCGATATGAGGTAGAGGGAACGGGTCTTTTGGGCATGCCTTGTTGATGTCTGTGAAGTCTATACAGATGCACCATTTTCCGTTCTTCTTTTTTACTACTACTACATTAGCAAGCCATTCTGGATATTTTACTTCTCTGATTTTTCCAGTCTTCAATAGGTTCTGGATTTCCTCATTAATAATCTTGTTCCTTTCTGGCGCGAATTTCCTTCTCTTCTGCTTTACTGGTATGTGTAGTGGGTCTACATTCAACTTGTGAGTAATTACGTCTGGAGAGATGCCTTTCATGTCTTCATGGGTTCAAGCGAATACATCTTTTTCTTCTTCTAAGAAGTCATATATTTGTTCCCTGAGTTCTGACTTCAGCTCTGATCCTATTCTGACATTTTGGTCTGGATGTTTGGGGTTCAACTGGACTTCTGTAGCTTCTTGTTCTTCTGCTATGCTTAACTTTTCTTGGCCCAGCTGACCCTCTGATTGCTATGCTGAACTCTTTTCTGAAGATGTTGCTTTTAGTGCGATCTTGTAGCATTCTTTTGCTTCCCTAGGATCTCCTCTAATTTCTTGAATGCCCCACCTAGTAGGGAACTTAATGACTTGATGGTATGTAGAGGGGATGACCTTCATCTCATGTATCCAAGGTCTGCCTAAGATCATATTGTACGAGGATAGAGTGTCAATCACTAGGAACTTGACCTGTAGATTGATTCCTTTTGCGTACGTAGCTAATGTAATCTCTCCACTTGTCTTCTTGGTTTCCCCACTGAATCCTACTAACATTGTTGACTTGTTGATGATGTTCTTTTCGTCTATGTTCATATGTTTCAGAGTGTCGAGCATGATGATGTTTGCAGAACTTCCATTGTCCACTAGGATTCTCTTGATCATGCAGTTCCCAACTGGGAGTGAAATCACTAAGCCGTCATGATGGCCTTTTATTACATTGCTTTCTTCGAACATGATGGGAATGTCTATCTTGGATTTCTCCCTCCTTTCAGGTTGTTCCTTATTACTTTCCTTCGCATGCCGCTTTGCTGCAGAATACGTCAAGCCACATACTTCTGATCCTCCTGAAATGAAACAGATGGTTTTGACAATTGGAGGCGGAGGAGGGGGACCTCTTTGCTTGGATTCTCTTTCCCTCCCAGAAGCTTTAGATTTATCTGAGAGGAGCTCTTTGAGGTAACCCTTCTTTAGCAAGTACGCCACTTCCTTTCTGAGCGCGACACATTCGTCAGTAGTGTGACCGATATCTGAATGGAAATCACACCATCTGGATAGATCTTTCTTCTCTCCAGGCCTGTCACTCTTCCTAGGCCACTGTACAATATCTCCCATCTTATTTAGGGTCCTAATTACCCCTACAGGGTTAACGTTAAAGCAATACTCATGTAACTTAGGTGGGAGTTCAGGATCCTCCCTCCAACCAGAAAATTCTTCTTCGACAGCATTGACTGTTCCCTCGTCAAAGCGAGAACGCTGATACGGCTTGAATCGATGGTCCCTTCTGGGAAAATTGTTGTTCCTTCTTGACTGGCGATCTGGCTCGAGAGTCTTTCTTGCATATGCATCTTCCTCAAATCTGACTTGAGCCATGCTTGCACATCTTCAAAGGTTGTACATGGATATTTAGTCAACTCCTTGTAGAGCTCACTATGGTCTAGCAATCCTCTTCTGAACGCTTCGATTGTTGTGGGAGCATCACACTTATGTATTCCAATATTCTCCCTGTTAAACCTGTTAAGATAATCTCTCAAGGATTCACCATGTCTCTGCACAACGCGGTACAGATCTGAAGATTGTTTTTTGATTTTCCTGCTGCTGGCAAATTGGACCTTGAATAGGTTCACCATTCCTGCAAAAGATCGAATAGTCCCATTACCTAAATTAATGAACCAGTTTAGAGCTGGACCTGATAATGTGGCTCCAAAGCCTTTGCACATGATAGCCTCTCTGATGTCTCTAGGGATTGAGCTTGTCATCATCTTCTGTTTGTAAAGGGATACGTGCTCATCGGGGTCTGTTGTTCCATCGTACATGGTCATATTGGGCGTGCTGAACCTCTTTGGGACTTCTACCATGGCGATCTCTTCTGAGAATGGAGATTCTATATAGCCATCTGCTGCCTCCTCTTCCATGGGTTTCGGCATTCCAGGGATTTTGGCTATTTTGGCCTCGATTGTCTTGAGGTATTCCTTGACCATCTTTTCTACTTTTCCCTCTTCGGCTCCTTCCTGACCGTCCTTCTTGGGGGTTCCTGCATCCAAAGAGTCTAGATCCAGGGTATCATCCCTGTTGTTAGATCCTTTTTCCCCGTTAGGGGTGTGAAAGGTTCCGGACAAGTCAAGCTGCATGGCTATACCTTCAGTGTTCTTTCTGGTGTTAATGGTTTTAGATGCAACTGATTGTATTTGGCTACGAAGGGCTTCATTTTGTTTGGTAAGGCTGGTGAGTTTGGTTTCAGTTTGGATCTTTTGAGCCAGCAGCGTTTCAATTTGGCTTTTCTGCTGGTCTAAAGTTTGGCGGAATGCGTTCATTCCTTCATTAATTTCGGCAATGGTAAAAGGTACTGGTTGCCCAGTCATGGTGTTTGTCTCGGTTTTTTGGCGAATTGGTAGGTTAATTGATTATCAGCCCCACGGTGGGCGCCAAATTGTTTAGGCAAATCTCAATAAGGACATTCAAGAATTTGCTAGGTTTGAGGGGTAATAACAATCATTCTACCAATAACATATAAAATAACTAAGAATGATAATAAATCAACAAGTAATCAATAAACAAGCAGTAAATATTCAATTATATAAAGAAGATGAGTTTAGAGATGCAATACTGAGCAAGAATAGGCCTCCTTGTTCAGTAGGGACGCAATTCCGTGGATAAAAGTAGAGCAAATTGTTTATATTTATGTATATGCGAACGTACATGATCGTTCAAATGTCTAATTCTTCTTATTTATATCTAGGGATCTCTAGGGTTTACAAATATATTCAGAATATCCTTGAAATGCATAAGATCTTCTTGATTTATCTTGTTTCCTGCTCTGTAGGTGTATCTTTGGCAAGTATCTCCTTGATTAATATGCTTGATGTTGCTTTCCTTGTTTATTTCAATCAAGCCGTTTTGCATATTCTTGCTGACCTATTGGCCTTGGATTGATGCCCTAGATGTAATGGGTTGTGTGATAATATGGGCCCAACAGTGGGACTGGAAGTGTAGTGGTGGGTAGTTGTAAGGGAGGAGAGAGAGGTGTTTGGGTTTTTTTGTTTTTGTTTTTTTTTAATTTTAACTTATTTATTTTGAAGTTAACAGAAAGTTTACTTCAGTAAACGGAGGGATTAGAGTAAGGTTACATCGTAGACACTAAAGGTATCTTGGGGGTACAATGTGGAGTTTTGAAAATGGGTGGGCACAACTTATAAAAGTCAATACCTCAGGGGCACTGTATAGAAAAACCCTTTAAAATATTACTGAAATTATATTTTGTATCACTAAGAGTGTATTTTGTACCACTAAATAGCAAAATTTAACTCCCACATAAATTGACCGGCCTACCCGTGCGAAACACTTTTAAATCTCTCTCAACCCTTGTTTATATAGTCTCTTTCTTCCAATTTACTACGAGTAGCATTGTTTCAGTGACCTGTTGTGCAGTACAGTAGCACTCCGTAGTATAATATCGGTTTGACTACCTCTTTACTTTCTTACTCTTTCTCTCTCCTCTAATTCACTCTCTCTCCTCTTCTCACTCATTCTTTGATACTCTCTGCACATCCCCACCTGAAGCATAAACCTTGAAGATTCATACTACTTTTTATCAGGTAATTTCTTTTCTTTTCTGGGATCTCTTCTTTTTCATGAATTAAAGATCTGTTCTTTTGTTTGATTAAATATGTTAATCTCATACCCAGTAATTTTATACGAAGTATTTGTTAATCTGCATTTTGTTCTTAATTTGGTTTCTTCTTCAAGTTGAAGTTCCTTCACTGGATCCCTTTCTCCTTGTTCAATCTCACCCCCTCTTTTGGGTTTCCTTTATTCCTTTCCTTTTTCTATTTTTCTGATTTGATTTTGTAATTTACCCATTTGTCTCCTAATTTCTGTTGATGGGCATTGAAATTAAAATCGAATGTGATTTTTGTTGATTTTATTCTATTACTAAAATAAAGATAAAAATTGCATTATGAATCAGTCCATGCAACTCAACCTCATATAATTTTTATAGAATAAGATTAATTATGTTGTTTGATTGTGGGTTTTGTGCTTTCTTAATTTGGATAGGAGGTGGACTACAGAACATCATAATTATGGGAGCTACTACTGTCATTTTCAGAAGAATGGGTGTTGAACCCAGATTCAATTGCATTTGTATACCATCACTTTGATGTTCCAACCCTTTCTTCTTTCCTAACTTCCTATGGCTTCCAATAATTCTGCTAAAGCATCTTCTGATCGCCAACATCGACTAGGGCGTTCGGCTTTTCCTTCCCAGGTTTCCGCCTCCACCAAATCTAAACCCGAATTCACAGACCACTTTGCGAATTCCCTACAAATTGCCTCCAAGCATCCTGATAAATCTAAATCCACCAACCAAAATGCATCCCTCAATTTGTTGTCCGGTGTTGAGCCCTCTTCGGCTGACATAGATCCTGTTGAGAATGAAGCTAGGATTTTGGAGGATTTATCCACTGATCATGAGAAGAAAACATCAGAATATGGAAGTATCAAAGACAGTTCAGTGTCTGCTAAATTTAGTGATGGAACAAGCAGCCTTGCGAAGACAAGTGGAAGTGCCAAAACAAGTGGCCGGCTTGATTTTGTAGAAAGTGGCAAGAGTAGTTTGTGTAGAGGAAGCACTAGCACCGATGTTAGTGATGAGAGCAGTTGCAGCAGCTTTAGTAGCAGCATTAGCAAGCCTCACAAGGGGAATGATGTCAGATGGGAGGCTATTCAAATAGTCCGTGCGAGAGATGGAATGTTGGGGTTGAGCCACTTTAGACTGCTCAAAAGGTTGGGATGCGGGGATATTGGTAGTGTTTACCTTGCTGAGCTGAGTGGAACTAAGTGTTACTTTGCCATGAAGGTAATGGACAAAGCATCTTTGGCTAGTCGCAAGAAGTTACTACGAGCTCAGACAGAGAGAGAGATTCTTCAATCACTGGACCACCCTTTCCTTCCTACTCTGTATACCCACTTTGAGACCGATAAATTTTCATGCTTGGTGATGGAATTCTGCCCGGGTGGAGATTTGCATACTCTTAGGCAGAGGCAGCCAGGGAAATATTTTACTGAACAAGCAGTAAAGTAAGATTACCTACAGCTCAAGTACTAATTAAACTTTATACATTGTGTCACTTTTCTTGTTTATTGTTCTGTCCATTTTTTTTTCCCATTGAGCATTTGGATTTTGTTTGTGGTATATCTTTGCTAGGACAGGTTATTTTTTCTACTGACATGCTATTGTTCGGTATGTTCACTCAATATGTCTGAATTGAATCACATTTCAAGATCTTAAATTTACTCATTCCACAATCTGATACTGGCAAGCTAACTTAGAGTGCTGCCCAATTTTCCCTGTGCTGCAATGGTAGAGGACTGAGACTCCATGGTACAATTCTGTGTTTAACCACAATTTGCAGGTAGTTGACCAATCACATCTCTGAAAGTTCAAAAAATATCATTCATAATTTTGTTAATGAGGGTTCCTTATATGGTTTGTTTACTGGTGCTAAGCCTTGCACAACAACTCCTTTAGATATCTCAGGCACTGAGTTTGTTCACCTGTGGCTTGTACTCTTGTAGGAACTCCTGTCACTATAAGATCCAAGCAATACCAGCGTTGTATTCTGTGCTTCAACTTTTGATTAGGAAAGATTAACCGTCACCATTTTGTTACATGGACATGGACTTTTTTTTTTTTTCATTGTGTGATGCAACCACGCTGACTTCTGTTTTGCAATCAACACTTGTAGATTTTATGTAGCAGAAGTCCTCCTGTCGCTGGAGTATCTTCACATGCTTGGGATTGTGTATCGTGATCTCAAGCCTGAGAACGTCCTTGTGAGAGATGATGGACACATAATGCTCTCAGACTTTGATCTTTCCCTTCGTTGTGCTGTGAGTCCAACACTAGTGAAGTCATCATTGAATGAGATGGAGCCGTTGCGAAAAGATCAAGGTTACTGTGTTCAGCCAGCTTGTATTGAGCCTTCCTGCATCCAGCCTTCATGTGTTGCGCCGACAACATGCTTCTCGCCACGTTTTTTTACAAGTAGGTCCAAGAAAGATAAGAAGGCAAAGAATGAAATTGGAAACCAAGTGAATCCACTCCCTGAGCTTATGGCAGAGCCAACCAGTGCCAGATCAATGTCTTTTGTTGGTACCCATGAGTATTTGGCACCCGAAATCATCAAAGGGGAAGGTCATGGAAGTGCAGTAGACTGGTGGACATTCGGGATCTTTCTTTATGAGCTTTTATTCGGTAGAACTCCTTTCAAGGGTTCGGGCAACCGTGCTACTCTGTTCAATGTTGTGGGGCAACCTCTAAGATTTCCTGAATCCCCAGCTGTAAGTTTTGCAGGCAGGGATCTAATAAAGGGGTTGCTTGTGAAAGAACCACAGCATAGGTTGGCATACAAAAGAGGGGCAACAGAGATTAAGCAACACCCATTTTTTGAAGGTGTCAACTGGGCACTAATACGGTGTGCTACACCCCCTGAGATACCGAAGCCTGCTGTTATTGAAAAGGCAGCAGCTCCTCCTCCCTCTCATGAAAAAGCTGATCTTGCTATGAGGGCACCTGATCAAAAGGGTTCTGACAATTACCTTGAATTTGATTTCTTCTGAGGTTTCAATGTTTGTTCCAATTTTCTTCTTTTTTTCTTCTTTTTTTCCGTATATGTTTCGCACTCTGCTGGATTAGGAGAATTGTTGCCAAAAAGATTTGATCTTTATAATTATCTAGTGAGCACAAATTGGGAGAAATGCGGTGGAGTTGGAGTGCCCTGTACTGAGGAGGCAGAAGCAGATATGGTTGCAATATGCTGATCTAGGCCTGCAAGGGCCATAACTGTTTGTTGCCTGTAATGTGTATGTTTAAACTAATGTATTGGGTGCGGTATGAACTCTCCAAATACTCGAAAGAGAGGTAAAATATATATGTATCTTAAGATGTGCTCCATTTGTTTCAGAGCTTTTTAATTTTCAAAAGTATTAACCCTGTTGCTGTTCACATTTCATTGAAGTCAGATACATGAGTTATTGCGGAGTAAATTAGCCATTGCTAATACTCCGTTACTCCTGACACCATGAACTCATGAAGAGAGTGACCCATTTGTTTTTAAGGGTCATTATCTAAAATTTGTTGGATGAAATTCTTCTCTATGTACAATTTTAATTATGTAAACTCTAGGTCATACTCTTTGAAAGGTGTCTTCTTTTTTTAAAAGATTAATTCATATAAATGATCTTTATTAAGAAGAATGAATAAAAATGGCAGTATATTTAAAAAGCTAGAATTATCTTTTACAAACAGCATAATTGCACATGCTGAAGAATCAAAATTTCTGCTGGCTGTACTGCACCAACTCACCAAGGCAAGGGTGACTACAAGTGCATGATTAAGGACTAAAGTAACATAATTCTGATTGTTAAAGGGCTGGGAGTCATAATTAGGGTCTAAAGTCAGTAGATCAAAGTAGGATTTGGAGTATTAATTAAAGACATTTAAATAAGTACATATTACTTGATATTATTATTGCATATTTGTCGGACTGAATGTCTCCTAAATGGAATTATTGTATGGAACAGATATACAATAGTACTCCTCAGCAGAGTACAGATACAACAACTTAAAAGTAAAATAAACTACTCAAGTAGTCAAGTGTGAGGTTGCATACATTCTTTACAAGTCACAGCTCTCAAGGAGGAACGGCGGCTATATTTGCGAAAAATAATGACAAAATGCGGTGAGCGTGGATCGGACACGCGACCTTCAGATCTTCAGTCTGACGCTCTCCCAACTGAGCTATCCCCGCTTCTTGTATTTTTCCTCTTACATAAAATTGATACTTGGACGATGAAAAACATTAACCTTTAAAGCAACAAGAGAAGGAACCGTGGGGTGGAGGAGGCTGCTGTTGCTGCTCGTCGAATTGATTACGGCCTTCGCTAGAGGCAGCTGTTGGTGAAGAAGTAGAATTTGAATGCAGATGATATTCAAAAGTTCGATAATGCTCAGACATATTCAGTTTTTTGCCCTGACATACAATTGTGAGCTCGCACCCCTCATCTGCATTTTGCCTTATCTGATCTGCTACTGTCGCACTTCCTTTTCCTGCTTTCAGTTTCCTGTTACATCACACCATGCATCATTCTTTACAATTTTGTGAACAGATTATACGCCCTTGACATTTATTTATTTAACCAAAATATAGGGAGCATTATATATTTGTCAGCTTAACTAGTTTTAATCTTGTTTTCAGGAATCAGGACCTGTACAGTGGGTTACTACTAGCTTAATTATATATAGCTGGCGTCTGTAATACCTCAAGTTGGACTTGGACATTCCTACAACCAACTGGCGAATGTTGAGAACAGAAATCAACTCCACGATAGCATTTGCCACAAAATCACTCTCGATCAGTATAGTCTCTACCTGTACCTGTAAATGTTCACCATTGTTTACATTAGTAATTAAGCATTTCTTGCTAGATACAAGCATTACATACTACTAATTAGCCCAGTACATAAGCTGGCTTAATTAAGAGCACTTAACCAAATCCAAGTTTATGGGATTAGCATTCATTGATTACCCGATGTGAAGTGCAGATATCAACGTACTTGTTAAGTAATTCCCGCCTCTTTCTGGTATCCTGCACCATGTAACTCTCCACAAGGTCTGGACTCACTTGAGTCTTTGGTACCACCCCTCCTCCAACTGCAATCATTCTTTCATTATCAGCAAAATGCATTTATTATCATGTACTAACTCCTAATTCCTAAAGGATAAATATAATTTACTGTATGCCACCAATTAGTTAATTACAGTCTTACAGATCAGATTCCAGATTCCCTTAAAGCAAATTAATATAACCAAGGGAGCTAAATTATCCAATAATATTAGTATACATACCAAGTAATTATTAGGAAAAATAAAATAAAAATTGGACGACATGGCAAGGCAGTTAGATGAAGAATTATTAGGAAACAAGTGTATTATAGTTAATGAGATGAGGTGCTTACAAGGGCTTGGAATGAATTTGAGGTCAGAGAAGACGTGAATGAGATAAACAAGAGTAGTCCCAGGATGAACAGAATGCTTGAGGGTCCATAGAAGCGCACCATTGCTCGATTCACTCTTGCCCACCGCAACATACACCACATCATCAGATGATCTTCCACTATTATTGTGGATATCAATAGAGAACAAACTTGTGGTGTTAGTTATTATGCCACCTTCACTGATAGTAGTCAACTGCTGCCCTCCTGATCTCCCAATAAAGCTAGTCTTATTTTTTTTATGTGACGATGCAATAAGATTCTCCTCATCTTCCTCCATAATCTCAATGATCTCGCTCACACCACCAAAATCATAATTGCTCTTGTGTATGGAATCAAAAGGAGTGTAATGATGATGGTCAACTGTGGCTGTTGCAGTGGCATTGGCATCGCTGTCATCAGGCCTGCTAGGGGATGTGATTTCCATAGACGAGCTTGAGGTTGAAGGTGCTGACACTAGTTTGATGAGATTGATATCTATAATTTGTTTTTAGATTCTGGCCTGACTCTAGTTTCTACCGACAAGATGTAATGATAATATACTGTATTATCTATCTATCCAAGTAAACAAGACTTATGAGGAGCAGGTATAGGAGAAGGCTAAGAAGGCGATTAGTTGCTGATAATAAAATCTTATCCTATGATATGCCTCTCTAATGTAGGGAAGGGCAGGGAATTGAAATTAAAATTTCCTGTGATTATATTACATGAGTATCAAAGTTTTGATATAGGTCTGAATGTCTGATCAAGGAAGTTAGATGGTGCTGACTCTGTTGGTGCTGACTTTGTTGCTCTGTGGCCTGAAATATTTGATCAAGAGAGTACAATCAACTCTTTAAAAGTTGTTGAATAATCTCAATCCCTTCCTTTAATTAGCGACATAAAGGTCTAAACAAAATCTATTAACGTGGGCCTAGCTAGTATGATTTTTATTTTTATTCTTAATTCTACCTTTACTTTCATTATCAGCTGCTTGTCTAGTTGTGCCTATTACCCGCACTAGACAATATATACTGTTCTTTCCCATTCACTCGGTAACAACCAAATTATTCAAACCTGAATGCGCCATGGTACTTGTTTACAACGGTCGCATAAGGTACCTGTAGTTGCATAATCTGTAGTCAAGTGTCATAGTTGGGTTTTTTTTTTCTAGTGAGAAAAATCCCTGAAGAAAAAGTCTCAAGGCCAGAAAACTAAGTGTCAATGTTCAAAAAAGGAATATGCGAATACGTGAGAGAATCACGGAGAACTATTTCCAAAGAACTCGTCATGACAGCTACATGAACTCCTAATTTAATATATTGTGTTTTTTTTTTAACACTTTAATTTATTGTGTTACTACTCTGTATAATTAATGTGTAGTATTATTTTATTACAAAGGTTTATTGTTTGTCCCTAACCTTTCCTTGCCTGCCTTCCAGCCTTCCTCATTGATCTTAACTTAGAAACAGTAGGATATATATACATACATACAAAAAAAAAAAAAAAAGTCATACAACATACTTTCTGATTGAGTATATAAACTAATTTCTTGTAAAAAAAAAAAAAGAGTATATAAACTAATTTTGGGGTTCAGCCATCACCTTAAACTTTTGGTTGAGTTGGTCCTTTAACATGGTATTAGAGCTATTTCAATTCCAAAATTCTCTCATATAGGGAGGTGTGACTGCGTGATAGAGTATATAAAAATAATTATGGGCTTCAACCATCAATTCAAGTTTTTGGTTGAGTTAGACCTTCAATACTTTGTTTCATGTGAAATAACAAGCTCGTACTCCCTGGCTCCCTGCGTTCTTTGCTGAAGTGTTATATACGATATTACGATGTATCTATAACATAAATTTGAACGGTTGTCTTAGCAATATTTATCTTTTTTTCATGTGATTCTAACAAGCTATCCATTTGGTCTATTAAATTCGTCATTGCTTTACAATTTATATTATGATTGTATAGGGAAAATATATACGGACTTACGGAGTACATGTGAATTGATTTTCATACCTTTTATTTTAATTAAAGTGATGATACACAATACTGGATGTAATCAGTTACCCGCATCTTATCCTTCAAAGTTAGCTTAGAATTATAGCACCTTTGTGGTTATGTTTAAATTATCTTGCTGCCTAATTTTACTAATATCATGCATATTTTGTACTTGGACTATAGTACTGTGTTGTGTTATTGTTAAAAAAGGATGAAATCCTCACAAAATCCTGAAAGAGCTGTAACCTTAGATTACAAATTTCTTTAACGTCTCTATACTTTATAGCTACATCATCTAGCAGTTTTTACTCCAGCATTGTGATGTAAATAAACAGAAAATTTTCTATTCACCTAACAAACATAGGGAGTTTAGTTAGTTTAGAGAAGTTTGAATAATATGGTGGGGGTGGGGGGGGGGGGGGGGAGAGAGGGTTTAGTTTGTATAAAGAGGGTAACCATGGGGGTGATTTAGTTAGTATGAGGGGGTTTGAATAACATAGGAGGGAGAGTTTGAATAACATTAGGGGTGTTTAGTTAGAATAAGAGGGGTTTGAATAACATGGGTGGATTTAGTTAGTATAGGGGGTTTGAATTACATAGAGGGAGTTTAGTTATTATAAGAAGGGATTAGTTAGTATAAGAGGGGTTTGAATAACATAGAGAGGGTTAGTTATTATAAGAGCGGTTTAATTAGTTAATATAAGAGAGGTTTGAATAACATGAGTTAGTTAGTATAGGAGAGTTTTGAATAACATCGGGGGTTTTGTTAGTATAGAGGGGTTTGAATACATGAGAGGGTTAAATTAGTATAAGGGGATTGAATAGTTATTATAAGGGGGGTTTAGTTAGTATACGAAGGGTTTGAATAACATGGGGGGGGGGGGGGGGAAGGGGGTTAGTTAGTATAGGAGGGTTTTGAAACATTGGGGGGTTTGAATAACATGAGGGGGTTTAGTTAGTATAGGGGGTTTGAATAACATAGAGAAGGTAGTTATTATAAGGGGGGTTTAACATGATTGGTGTGATTAACAGAGTGTGCAACAATTGTTTGTAGGCTTTTGATTAATCTGCTTAAAGCTTGTTGTAATTATTGCTAAGTTTACGAACTAATACTGCTTAGTTAGCATGCTGTTGTCATTTTTAATATTGTTTTACTCCGTATTATTTAATAATAGTGAAGTTCAGTGTAAATTCAATTTTATCTCGATTATTAGAAATTGAATTTACACTGAACTTATTAAAATGTACACTGAACTTATTGTCCCCTTATTGTCCTTAATACGGAATAATACGGAACTTATTGTCCCCTTATTAAAATTTACACTGAATAATACGGAAAATAATTAAAATGTTGTATTATTAGAAAAGAATGGACCAAAGGTTATATTGTTTTTAGCAATTTTTCAGTATACAAATTGAATCGTGCAGTGTTTATCACAATCTAATAGGGTTATTATAATTGACATTTGCTTAATTATCATACTGAAAAAAGTAGCATGCAAACTGCTTTGAAAAAAAATGTATCTTAGACACATCACAAGTCATAGTTGTTTGGGGGTTTTCTGTGTCCTTCGGGAGAGTTACAATTTCCTAGCAGACTTCCTTCTTACGCCTGTACCTGCACCTAGCCGACTTCCTTCTTGCGCCTGTACCTGCACAAGTAACGGAGACTCCGGATGGGGGGTGGGAGTTCCGCCTCCGAAGATTAAGTTAGTATCTTTTCGAAGTGGAATAAGAACAGCAAAAGCTTCTCGGTTCGAGAGCGTTTCCGTAGGTTTGGACTTTGTTTGTTTTTTTTTTTTTGTGGTTGCAATTAATGTATGTGTCTGTGTCATAAATGAGGTCTACCCTTACTATTTATAGTAAGGGAGAACTGTACCTCAATTAGGGTATAAGGGACACGTGTCTGCAAAGGAAATGGGCCTTTGCAGACCGCTGAAGGATTGACACGTGTCAAGCCTTTATTGGGCCACGTGTCTTAGGGTATTTTCACCCTAAACAATAGTAATCGCACAGGGCATTATAAAATTAGAAATCTAATCAAGCATTCTTAAAAGGAGTAAAGGTTACTAATCATACCTAGTTTTCAAATTAATTACAAAAACTATTACATATGTCAGAATAAATGGCTGCAAATTTTGCCTCATGAACCATCAATATATAGCCAGTTGTAGCTACATCAACTTTGCTCGTGTCTACTTCTATGCATTCTTGTTCAAGCTCAAGTAACATTTTATCATAATTATTTTTGGCTTGCCCATTTTATCCCATATCATCTAGATAAAATAGTAGGCATAGAGAACAGAGTTAATCACCGATGATAACAAGATAAAAATAACATCCTAACCTTGAAGAGCTGAAGTGCAATTAGCTTGTATCATACCTGAAGTTCATACAAAAGAGACCCACAAGTAGTTTTTGCTTCGAAAAGAGGATCATTCTGAACATAATATTAAGAGATTTTTTTTAACCACCACATGTATCAACCTCCACAAAAGTAAAGGAACTCCAATTTAGTATTTGGACCAAAACTAAAGTCTAATATAATGAACAGTGCATATCTACAAGATCCACAATACTATGATTCAGATTTTCAGACACTAAATAGTGCAACCAAACCCAACATACCTACACAAATTCCCATAAGAGAAACTGCTTCAAAGAGCTCTAAATTTGCTTCAATAAGCTTAAATTACTAAGGCCTTACTACTAAGAAGAGTCCTGATTTGCCCAATAATGCAATAAGCCTGCACCATGACACCACAACCAATAAAGTAAAACAAATGTACAATAATATAAACTTGAATCTATAAGAGGAATGTAATTTCGTTGATGTATACAAGAAGCTACTCAAACAATGACATCTTTGACAGAATCTATGAACTAATATCAACTATAATCAATCACTTTCTACTTATCTACAATACCCATCATCATTAGAAATACTCAAGCCAAACCTATCATCACATACATACATATATATATATATATATATATATATATATATATATATATATATATATATATATATATATATATATATATATATATATATATACTTGTATTAACCAATACAAATTTACAAAAAAAATAAATAAATAAAATAAAATAAAATACTAATTTCAGGCTAGGAAAAACACAAATCTCACAATATTTCTAATCACACTTAATTTAAAAGAAAGAAATATCATTGTTCTAACCTTGAAAATGAAAAACATGTTAGTGCACAATTGCACATACACCGACAATTGAATATGCAGATTAGTTTAGAGTCTTATTGATAGAAATAAAAATGTCGTGTGACTATTAGAAAGTTAGAAATCCTTTTAGAACTCTCACTTTCTCTCAGAAATAGCCAGAGTTCTTTGTAAAACTCCCATAGTTTCCCCAACCTTCCTAACACCCGTCTTAGAAACGAAACTACTCTACATTGTACCACTACCACCGCCTTTCCTTTCTCTCATGCCTACTCAAACATTTTCTGCAACAACCTAGCAGCAACAACCTTAACCTCAATCTAAGCTTTCCTCTCCTCGTCTTGGTAGCCTCATTAATCTCATTTCGGCCTCCTTGGCTCCTTGCTTTCAAATTACCCATCAAAAATTACTTCAAATCTAAAGGCTCATTACTCTCTCTTGTATTTGTCCCTCTTTCTTGTCTCATATTCTCTTTCTTATCCCCTCCCCAACCTTATTGATTCCTCTTCCCCCCTCCCTATAACTCTATTTTTACGGTTTGAATGATTTTCCCCAACCTTATTGTCCCCTCTTTCTCCCTCCCTAAAACTGTATTTCACGGTTTGAATGATTTTTCCCAATCTTATTGTCCCCTTTCTCTCCCTCCCTATAACTCTATTTTTACGATTTGAACGATTTTCTCAAAACCCACCATTGACCTTCTTTAGTCACTCTTTTGAAGGGTTTTATATTCCTTACCCCAAGCACACTCTTGATATGGTCTCTTAAAAGTGATCTTTTTATCTCTTTCCCTCTCTTTTTATAAGCTTGCAAAGTTTATAACATATGAAAGTTCATGCTTGATTCAAGTCATTTGGATAATGCAGATAGCACTTTTGAAATGGCTTAGCAAAACATAGCAGATATCACTTCATGTTTACCTCTAAAAGCATATGAAAGTTCATGCTAGATTCAACAGTCATGTGGACAATGCATGAATCCCAACAAAATTGATCAACACTATCGAATGGTGCAAAAACTAATTTGCAAATATTAACATAACATACTACAGTCATTGCCCCAATACTATCAATATACCAAACAAAATCACTAATTGATAACTGCATTAATCTTATTTAAAATCATTGATCAGTGACATTGCAGATGCATAGCAAAAAGTCATCATAGTTCAAGTGTGAATCACATCACATACTTGATATAGTACTATAATAGATAAGCAATCAGGTTATAAAAAAGCTTCTAAAATGTCAACAACACTGAAGAGTGAAGTCAAACAAAGAAAATCATTGACTGTCAAAAGAAAATTACTCCTTACAAAATTCGAGTAGTTTTAAAGCACTGGCCTCATTTGAAGTTACCTTAAAAGTCGCATGCACGGAGACATTAAAAAAGAGCCAAAAGGCAACAGGCCATTTGCCATACAGTTAACACAGTAAAGCCATTAATATTATAGAACATATGAACCCTATGATAAAGATGTTGCTACTTAGAAATAAGACCATTTCAGAGGTCCCGGCTTACAAATAGTGTATAATCAGCCGGCAGCAAGAAGCAGAGAAGCTCATAAAAGTAGTTTGAAACATTTCCATTAAAGTATACTTGTAGACAGATTCAAACCACGTTGATAAACTAAGTGTTACTACTTCCAACTTTATCCATTACACAATTTGAATTAAGCCAATACCATCATGTATATGAGCAAGAAAGTCTTGGTATTTAATATCATATACATGACACCATAGACCATATATTGACATCCATTCCCTTTGAGAAAGAGGAAGAATTTTAAACACCAACATAATATTCTCTTGCAATTTTCATAGCTCCTAAAATTATATGCTTTGACCAAATTGGTTGGATAAATATATACGAAGTATGTGTGAATTTAAAAAATATCTTGGATGGATGGACGACATAGATCAGGCATATCAACTGACCTGAACTAAACAAATTTACAGTTGGAGAAAGATCAGCGTCAAGATAGGGCTCAAACAACAGCACACATTAATTATTAATACCATACCTTAACTCAACACAAGAAGTATATCAAAATTGGAAGTGTTTCTACGCTTAAGACAGACAAGTTTCAAGGTAGATTTTACACGGGTTGAGCAAAATGATACTACAGTAGTATGCAACATCTATATCACAGTTGAGCTTAACAATATCAACCAGCTCAAAAACTAAAGATCACAATGCTTTAAAAGAAAAATTATTAGAATTGCAATGATCAAATTCACACTCAAATTTCCACACAATTTATACGAAATTATGCAAATAACATGAGTAAAGGGGAAATAGAAAAGCTAATTAAATCGTTGACAACAAGAAGATATTTCTCAAGAGAATTCCAAAATACAGGAACAGGGACATCTACTTCCTATCAAAATATCACCATCCACCTCATCCTTGAAAAATTTGTCTCTAATTAGACTCAACCTTTATTTTTAGGAGTTTTGCAATTTCACCAAGCACTTGGTGCCCAGGTATCTTAGCCGCCCTAGCAAAGGTAAGAATCAATAAAAAAAAAAAAATCAGTAGGAACTACACATTATAGCAACATGATTGGCAATTTGGTAACAAGTAACAACAGATTTGCAAGTTGATCATGGTAAGATATTTAATTTCCAATTGCACTTTACTTTAATATTAGCCAATCTCACTAAGCTCACTCATTTGTACACATGTCAATCAATCAATCAAAGCTTTAATCCCAAAAGTCGTTTACCTCAAACACAAGCCAATTTGGTCCAATATCTTATTTTAATTAGCATTTATACCTCATTACAAATTTGTGCTGATTCAATGGCAATGGTCCTTATCATGTTAGATTTTTAGCATTTTGTCAGTTGCAATTACCTACGTTTATTACACCCTTTTTTATTGTTATTTTTTCGTATCTTTTTTAATTTAAAAGATCATGAAGTAAGTTTAGGAGCACACTAAAGTTTATAAAATAAATATCATTTTTTGAGTAGCAAAGCAAAGGATTACCTCGAATGTTAACCCAAACTTCTAGACTCGTGTGTGTCAAGGACGTACCCAGCTACTCTTGTACACGGATAAAACTATAGCACTCGATATTTAAATTAGAGGAACACATTGATTGGGCTTGATTACTGCAAACAAAATCTCCCTTCCTGCACAATGTATCAAAAATTAACCATAAATAACCAGCTAATTAAAAATTAGTATTTGCTAAAAAAAGAGTTCAATGATGTGATAAGGTAACTATACTTCTCAGGATAAAAAAAATTGGCTAGTTATCAGGCATTGAGTCTGCAGAGAATAGTTTGCATATTCGACCTCGTAAGTTCAATATCGAGAGATTTTCCAAATGGCTAGTACAACGGCCAGAGGAGGTGCGTAAAGCATAGCTAACTGTTGAGGAAGGGAAGATCAGAGTTGCTACAGCTCAGTTGTATCAGGGCTAGCTGATAGATTCGAGCAACTTTGCTTAAAGGATTTACATGTTATTTGCATATACCTATCCAAAATCCTACAAATACAACAATCAAATTGATTCAAACTTCAACATTTCACTTATTCATTGACATATATATTTCCCGTTTTGTAAAACAGTACCCCCAACCTCAGCTAAACAAGAGATAATAAAACTAATAGCAAATTTTCACCCAAATTTAAACACTGGTCACTAATTGTCAATACTATTGACTATATAAGCAAGAGATCTGAACTAACTCAAGCATCACTAACTCTCTCCTATTACAAATATAAATTAGTCATAACACACTAAGCTCATATCTACCTAAGTTATTTGATTAAATTACGTGCTCTTGGAATTATAATATTTCCTCCTTGTCCCTCCTTTACTCACTCGCCTTTCATGGTTATGAGAAAATCAAAAGGATCCTATTAGAGTTATGTCTCTCTTCCTTGTTTACATTCAAAATGGTCTCTTAAAGGTACTTCCCAATTCTTCCTCGGCTCCTCCTAACTCAAGCATCACTAACTCTCTCCTATTACAACTATAAATTAGTCATGACACACTAAGCTCATATCTGCCTTCGTTATTTGATTAAATTACGTGCTCTTGGAATTATAATATTTCCTCCTTGTCCCTCCTTTACTCACTCGCCTTTCATGGTTATGAGAAAATCAAAAGGATCCTATTAGAGTTATGTCTCTCTTCCTTGTTTACATTCAAAATGGTCTCTTAAAGGTACTTCCCAATTCTCCCTCGGCTCCTCCTAACTCAAGCATCACTAACTCTCTCCTATTACAACTATAAATTAGTCATAACACATTAAACTCATACATGTCTTAGTTATTTGTTTAAATTACGTGCTCCTGGAATTTTAATATTTCCTCCTTGCCTCTCCTTTACTCACTCACCTTTCATAGTTATGAGAAAATCAAAAGGATCCTAAAAGAGTTATGTCTCTCTTCCTCGTTTACTTTTAAAATGTTCTCTCAAGGTACTTCTCAATTCTCCCTCAGCTCCTCCTATTCTTTTCCTTACCCCATATTCTCTCCCTCTCACTTTCCCATATTAATGGTGGCAAATATCGTATCAAAAACTCCGTTTTCATTCACCAGCTCTCATCAATTCTCATCAACTCTCTTCATTCACCAATTACCAACTTTCATCTACAATTCATTCATCAATTCTCATATAACATTAATTCTTTAAAATTCTTTTCTTTCTTGCTTTTAATACAAAATTCCGCATTCACAAGATCTAAAAACACCTAGCCATATTCGAAGTTGCCTTCGCCCTAGACGTGAAAGGTTTTAATTTCTGAGGGTTTGGTCCCAAATCTCTCTCTCGATTATTTAATTTAATTGTTTTGATTATTATTTTCCTTGAACTTACTAACGTGTGTATTTTGTTATTAGAAAGAGGTGCGAGGCATCCAAGTAAGTACTTTAACTGTTTAATTGATATTATGATGTAGAAATCATGCTTAGATTGTTATTTTGATTCCTAGTATCATGTCTAGGGTAACTTTTATATTAAGTATGATTAAAAGTACGATGCTTCCTATATTCTTCCTAATATTTATGATTGTTAGTATCATGTTAGGGTTAAAGATTTGATTTTTATTGTTTAGTGACATGCTAGGGTTTGTTATTAATCTTGTTAGTATCATGCCTAGGATCTTGCTATGCTTTAACATGATTATGATTATGATTGATATTATTATTATTAATGATGTTGATTATTTATTATGTTGCTTGATATTATTTTATTTGTTATTGCTTGATCACCTTTATTGCATGTTAAAGGGAATTGGTACTTGTAATCACGCTTAATAAGATAATTAATAATCTTGTTAGGTTAATTATGATTATAAATTCAAGTGATCGCCAATAATAGTTTATTTGTGCATTATATTCAACCAACATAGATAAACAGGTTTAGGGTTAATCCTATTGATTGCATGTTAATTAAAAAGCGCACATGAATACGAGTAGAATAAAGTAGAGGCCTATTATTAGGGCAGATTCAATCTCTTTTAGGTTGGATTTGTACCTTCATCCCCGAACCCTTATTTGGTTCTAGACCTTATGGAGTTGACGATCTCTTGGATCGTTAAGGGGGTGTAACCTTCATCTTCGTGAACGGTTTACAAGTTCCTTAAAAACTTGTTGGCGACTCTTTTGCTCTATTTTCTTTCCCTTTTGGACGCCACCGTACTTTAGTGTATGATCACAGTGGGGTTCAAGCTAGTGGGATTTTAAAGACTTGAAACTATTCCCTACAGCTTTTGGCTACTCCGCTGGGGAGGATTTCTATTTTAATTCCTGAATTTGTTTCGGCAATGATTTAGAATGAGTGGATGAGACTCGAAAAGTTCTAAGTATTTCATGTGCGTAATTTTTATTAACATTATTGTCATATGCATAAAAAGGTTCTCATTGGAAAGACCATCCGTAATGAGTCAAAAACATAGGATTTTACACGTAGGAAATTTGAGAAATGTCTTTCACAACTAGGACTGAAATAACACCACGCGAAACTGGATGATTTTATTGAGCACATAAAGCTGTTGAGGCATGTGGGAAGTAGCGTCAGGGGCCAGAGCTTGGCGCCATACTTTTAGCTGTAGCGCCAGACGCCAATATTGGCGCCAGGCGCTACAGTTAAAAGTTGACGCCAGTCTCTGTTTGCTGGCGCCAATTTCCCCCAATACCGAGCCAGAAATATGCGTTCTAATTTCGACCGGTTTTTCGTATTGTTTGCTCGATCCTACTTCCTGATTGAATTTTTTCTCACTTTTCTGAAACCCATATGTGTTCTACATATGGAAATAACCCTCTGGGAATTCATGCTCCATCTACCCGATTGAACGATCCTGGCAACAAAGGGTACATCCGAGATGTTGAATTCACCAAACCATGGAAGTGAGTTTTTTCTAAAACTCGCGGTGTCCCATCCACACGCGCTAACCCTTCACGGTTAGGCTTCAGCGCGGTGCATCCGGACAATTAACCATGGACCCTCTATTGACTAAACCATATCCCGAACTTTAGAGAACTAGAGCCATGGTTAGGTTGTGAACTCATTGCATCATATTGTGCCTACTTGACTAATTGTGCATTATTTGTTGTGCATATATATTTTATGTTCCTCTTAACCGTTTTTTGATTTGTGTTGAGACTAAAATTAATGACTTAAAGAAATTTGCCTAATTAATTAATTAATTAATTAATTTGAGTCAATAAAGTCTTTTTTTTATCGGAATTGACCTAGTACGACTTTAGGCATACCCCAGTTGACTAATAATACCGAAAACAGTCCCAGACCGAAGATCCATATTGGCGCCAAAGTCTGAGCTGTAGCGCCACATTATAGTGTGTAGCGCCAGACATTAACTAAATTGTCTGGCGCCAACCACCATAATGTGACGCCAGTCTTGTAGCTTGGCCGACAGTTCGGATTATTTTTCTAGTCATCACCTAGGGTCTAATTAACCAGTTTGCTAATTAATTCGGTTAATTTTCGCTGTTAATAACACCTTGTCAAGTCATTAATCGAGTCTTGATCACATAGTCTAGCCACATGGTCATGACACGAGTCTTAACATGTCACCTACACTCACTAGACTTAGCACACACTTTGAGTATACATCACCATGGCCATGTCTTAGGTTCATGCATAAGTCGGTCTTTTCCGTCATTTGAGTTGGGGGGTACATTCTATTCCTAATTCTTCATATCCCTCCACCTAAATCTTTTTTCACATTCTATTCCAATTTTTCTTCACTTCCTCCATCCATTGCATATCGAATAAAGCTCGAGTCAAATAATTAATAATAAGTATCCCCAAATTCCTTTCCCACAGTACTTGGTCGAGGAGAGAAGGGCGATTAATCAAGGACAACACCTTTGTTCAAGTCTTACTTTTTGATAAACCGATTCGTCAAAAGAGAAAGGCTAAGAAGATAATGGCAACTCAAGAAGAAGTCAATGTGCTTAGGAACCAATTGGTTACCATGACTGAAACACTGAAGCTACTCACCCTCAAGGTTGATGATCTCGTGAAGCAACAACAGATGAACCTCATGCAAGAGAGTCTAAGCAAGCTATCTAGTGACTATAAATTTCAGGGCATGAGTTCACAAGGGGTCTCGCTGGACAAGGAACTTCTTCCGCATAAGTTCAACGCCACTGACATCCCTAAATTCAAGGCAACAGATAACCCTTACTTCCATCTAAGAGCTTTTGAAACTATAATGAGCATTAAGGGTATCGATACGAAGGTTTTCCCCTCTCTGTTCCCACTATCTCTTGAAACCGTTTGCCAACAATGGTTCTTCTCCCTTGACAAGGAGAAAACCTCTACCTGGGAATCAATAGTGAACGCTTTCGTTGATAGGTACAAGTGCAATATCCAAGTTGAAACCGACCATAGACAACTTGAGATGCTAAAACAAAAAGAGAATGAAGGCTTTACTCCTTTCTTTAATAAGTGGAGGGAAACTTTCGCCAAGATGATTGAGGTCCCCACTAAAAAAGAATCTGTAAGGATGTTTATCAAGAATCTCCAAGAAAAGTATTCAAAGCACTTAAAATATCAACACAACTTGAATACTTTCAAGGCTGTCTATGACATAGGTATCGAGATCGAAGATGACCTCGCAAAGCAAAAAGCTACTAACAATAGCAACCACGGTGGCTGGAAAGGAAAGAAGAGCGAAAATCCTTCTTCTTCCGAAAACGCCCACTCTAGTAATAATGTTAGTACCTTTGACCATGATGATGTCTTAG